CACATGTGCCATAGGTTTGCCATCACGGCCCTACACCATTCCTGACAAATGGCAGTCCAATCTCTTCTTGAAAGCCTCCAGTGATGAAGCTCCCACAACGTCTGAAGGCAACTTCTGTTGCATTGGTTGATAGTTCTCACTCAAAATTTCTCCTCATTTTCAGATTGAATCTCTTTGTTCGGTTTCCATCCATTATTTCTTGTTTGGCCTTCTGACACTTTGGAAAATAGCTTGACCCTCTTCTTTCTATAGGTCCTTAAGGCAGCCTGAGATTTGTATCTTATTTATTTGCTTGTACAGGTACTCCTCAATTTACAATAGTTCATTTAGTGACCGCTCAAAGTTATAATGGCACTGAAAAAAGTGACTATAGACCGTTATTCACAGTAACAATCTTTGCAGCATGCCTATGATCATACGATCAAAATTCAGATGCTTGGCAACTGTGTCAAAATATTCATGAACCAGCAGAGACATGGTAACAAGGTCAGCCAATGAATAGGGCTTAGTAACAAGGTCAACCAATTGGAACTGAAACAGTTTGAAGCCTGGGGATGGTTTAGCCCTGAAGCTCTGAGTGCTGTGCTGAGAATTGAAACTGAAACCAGTCTGTCTGCTTTCTGAACTCTGAACTGTTACAATCTTTCCTCTCTACCACGTTGGAAGAATCTGCTATTGGTATTGTACATTTATTTTTTATGTATATAAAGAGTTAATGAATCCTGCTGAATCAGTTATCTGTGTATGCTTTCCGGATTTGATTTCTATTGCAAACACTGACAAACTGTTTCATACTTATGGCCATTGTAGTGTCCTGGGGTCATGTGATCCTCTTTTGAGACCCTCTGACCAGCAAAGTCAATGGGGAAGCCAGATTCACTTAACAATTGTGTTACTAATTTAACAACAGTGGCAAGAGAGATCATAAAATGGGGCAAAACTCACTTAATAAATGTCTCACATAGCAACATAAAGTTGGGCTCAATTGTGGTTGTAAGTCAAGAACTACCTATATTCCAGTGGATTTTGGATGGTGAACAGTTGCCCAAGGGAAAGAACCATGTTATATAAAGACTGGGAGATGAATGGGCACCCTCTGTTCCTCCATTCATATTTCGACCCTCAAATCTGAAGTGCTGCCCAGCAGGATGGCTGAATTCTTCATGTTTTAATGCATTTAAATTTAAATTAAAGAATCATTTCTTAGAACTGCTCTCCTGGTGTCAGTCTATCGGCTCTTTTTTGTTTGAAACCGTTTTATTTCATTTTCATTTTCCTTTATATACAATCACTTATATACTGTACANAAAAAGACCGTTTTTCGCAAAAACAGAGGTGTTTTTCCCTTCCTCCAAACCCCAGGAGCATTCTGCAGGCTTCAGTAGGGCTGAGAGGAGGGGAAAATACTTCCATTTGGCAAAAAATGGCCCATTTTCTACCCATTTTTCACAAAAACCCATTTTTGCCTTTCCCCAGCCCTGCTGAAGCCTGCAGAGGGCTCCTGGGGGCCGGCGAGGACAAAAACTTTTTTTTCTTACTTATCTCTTCGAAATCTTGGTGCGTCTTATACACTGGTGCATCTTATAGTCCATAAAATACAGTACATGCCACTTGCCAAATACCTGAATTGATCGTATGACCATGGAGATCTTGCCAATCATCAAAAGTACACGTTCTAAATTACATTTTTTGTGCCATTGTAACTTTAAATGGTCACTAAACAAATAGTTGCAAGCCGATGACTATATCCATGATAGAGAACCTGTAGCATGCATGCCACAGGTGGCACATGGAGCCCTCTCTGCAGGCACATGAGTTGTTGCCCCAGCTCAGCTCCACTATACATGAGAGCGCACGCCTCCTGCCGGCCAGCTGATTTTGGGGTCTCTGCCATGCACGGGGGGGAGCACATGCAGGAGACGCATGTGCATGCATGGGGAGGTGGCGGGCTTGTGCATGCATGCATGGGGGAGCACGGCAGGGGGTGTGCTCTGATGCCCCATTTTTGGTCTGAGGAGGCTTCAGGAAGGCCTGTTAGGTCCAAAATGGGGCATGGGGGTGATCACGGGTGCACGCACAAGGGGGGAAGGCACACAAGGGGTGTCACACGCGCATTGCATTATGGGTGTGTGCATGTGCTTTCGCTCATCCATCCATGCGTGCATGCATGCTTTTGGCATGGGACGACAAAAAGTTAGCCGTCACTGATCTATATCATAGTCGAGTTGAAAGCCAGACGCTCGGCAACTGTTCATATTTACGACAGTTGCAGCATCCTGAGGTCATGTGAGGATCCTTTTTTTGTGCTCCTCTGATGAGCAAATCTGGGGAAGCCAGATTAACGATTGTATTGCTAACTTAATGACTGCAGTGATCGACTTAACTGTGGCAAGAAAGGTCATAAAGTGGGTCAAAACTCACTTAACAATTGTCTCACTTAGCAACACAAATTTTGGGCTCTGTTGCGGTCGGAAGCCAAGGTCTGTATCCTGTACATTAGGGAAGGGCTGGGATGCCAAATTTGACAAGGCCCTTGTCAAAATGCTCTTTCCTGTCCCAAAATCTACCGTTCAGGTCCAACATGAGCAGAGCAGGGTTGCTTCGAGAAAACCTTCTCTCTTTGGTGGTCTGCTGCTCTTTGCTACCTCCCAGGCATCTTTTCTCCTGCAATAGAAGAGAAGGAAACAAAACAAAAACTAGAAATGCTAAAGGCAAAAGTCCTCATGAGAAACCAGCCAGCCTCTTTCTCACCTCGTCCCGAGGGTCCATAATAGGTACCCACTTGTAGATCCGTAAAGAGGTGTCTCCTACCGTCACCCAACGCTTTTCCCTAGAAAGAGAAAAATGGTAGGATAAAATGAGACAGTTTGCATGGATTCTCCACTTGTGACCTTTGGACAGTGGTGGGATCCTGCCGGTTTAATAACCGGTTCGGTGATCACATGCTCTGTGCGCATGCGCAGTTTTAACAAAACTTACCTTCTACCTTGCTTCTGGGGAATAAAACAGTGGAGGCGTGGCAATCCGCTCTGCTGCGCGAATCAGCTGAGAGGATGTAGGCAAGTAAAGCGCAGGGGCGTCTGGGCGGACCCCCTCTGATCGTCGGAGCAAACCGGTTCACTCCCAGCTACCAGTTTGCCCGAACTGAATCCCACCCTTGCCTTTGGCGGCATTGGATTTAAAAAGTAAAATCTTTTCTGAACTGAACTTTAAAAAAGGTAAAGTTTTCCCCCTGTCCAGTTGTTTCTGATTGCGGAGGGGGGTTTGCTCATTTCTATTTCCAGCGAAAGGAGACAGAGTTGTCCTAAGACACTCCCATGGTCAAGTAGCCAGGGTGACTATGCACCGAGGTACACCGAACACTGTTACTTTCCCAACAAAGTGGTACCTATTTATCTGCTCGCATTTGCATGGTTTCGAATTGCTAAGTGAGCAGGAGCTGCGACAAGAATGGAGCTCATCCCATCACGCAGTGCTTGGGTCTTTAACTGTCAACCTTTTGGTCAACAAACCTAGAATCTTAACCGCTAGTTGCTGATAACTTTGTGAATGCAATCATGTAGTATTCTCAGAATGAAGTCATTCTCCTACTTTTGTCTTCTTTCAGAAAATCCCCCCGTCTCAATTTTCCAGACTAGCTAAGACTCCTGTGATTTTCTAGTGGAGTCCTATTCATTCATTAACCAAGTATTTATTTATTTTATTTATTTATTTTATTTGTCAATCATTTACAAGATAATAGGTATAAGAATAAGCATGAGTATGAATGAAATGGGTACGAATAAATGGGGACAGTAAGACAGGGATGGTAGGCACGGTGGTGCGCTTATGCATACCCCTTACAGACTCTTAATAATGGGGTGGGATCAATAGTAGTAAATCTAAGGTTAAAGTTATTGGGATTTGAAGATGTAACAAGGGAGTCAGGTAGTGCATTCCAGGCATTGACCACTCTGTTGCTGAAGTCATACTTTCTGCAGTCAAGTTTACATTGTGTTTGTATGTGTTGCGTGCTCTTATATTATTGCACTTGAAGCTGAAGTAATCTTTGACTGGCAGGACATTGTAGCAGATAATTTTGTGTACTACGCTTAAGTCCAACCATAGGCAGGGTGGTTCTATGTTGTCCAAGCTCAAAATTTCAAGCCTGGTGGTGTAGGGTATTCTGTTGCTGAAGAGCCAAGGTGGCGCAGTGGTTAAATGCAGCACTGCAGGCTACTGCTAGATCAGCAGGTCAGCGGTTCAAATCTCACCGGCTCAGGGTTNACCCACCTTGGAAGGATGGAAGGTTGAGTCAACCTTGAGCCGGTGAGATTTGAACCGCTGAACTGCAGATAGCAGTCAGCTGAAGTGGCCTGCAGAACTGCACTCTAACCACTGCGCCACCTCGGCTCTAAGTCAAACGTGACTTAGTGACTGAACAACAAGAACAACAACAATCATATCCACAGCAGGTCATTTATCATTGTCCCATTTGTATTTGATCTTTCTTGTCCAATAAAATTAATATTTCTACAGCACATCATTAAGCACCTATGGGAATCTCACACATATAAAAAAGAGATGGGCTTGGATCACACAGCTGTGGCTGCAATCTTGACTTTTTTGATCTTCCCAAGGACATTCCTCTGAATGACTATCCTTATTTCTGCAGCCTAGAAGATCTGGAGAGTCCACGATAAAATTATACTTATTATTGTTGAGGAACTGAGAGATTCTCAAATCCTAAGAGGGGAGATATTCCTAAAGGGAAATGATTTGGATCAGAAGGTTGAATATTCTTTTATGCTTTTATTACCTATAAACCAAAAATATAAATAGATAGCTGCTAGTGTTACTATTTTATAAGTAGAATGCTTTGGCTTTATCTAAAACAATTAAGCAAATTGCTAGATAAAGAAACAATAGAAATAGTTTCAATATTTCACTTTCGTTTCTTGTTAAACAGCTTCTCAGAACTTTTTCCAATGTAACAACATAATAAAATAATTTCTCATAAGAAACTAAAGATAAAGTTATCCCCCAGTTGCAACCATTACTTAGTGTGACCATTTGAAATGACAATGGTACTGGAAAAAGTGACTTCAGACTATTTTTCACACGACCATCACAGCATCCCCATATTCACATGATCAAAATTCAGGTGCTTGGCAACTGGCATGTACCTATGACAGTTGCGCTGTACCATGATCATGTGATCACCATTCGTAACCTTCCTAGCTGGCTTCTGACAAGCAAAGTCAATGGGGGAAACCAGTTCCACTTAACAACTGCATGATTCCTTTAAAAACTGCAATGATTCACTACAGCTTCAACTGTAGCAAAAAAAAGGTCATCAAATGAGGCACAGCTCACTTAACAACTTCCTTGTGTAGCAACAGAAATTTTAGGGTCAATTTTAGTTGTTAACCGAGGACTACCTCTATATCTAATTCCTCATTTGGGGATAAGCCTTAAAAAGCCAACTGGCTGAATTCAATATTACCAAAATCTCCAGTTATCTGCTTCAGGCCATTCAAACTTAATTGCTTTAGAATAAGTTGCTCAGATAGGGAAACAACAGAGAAATAGGAATTTTAAATGTTCCCTGGAGAATGAGATCAAAAGTGCTACCAAGACAATCCACAGGATGCGTTCCCTTCTTGTGGGGTAACATTGTCAGCTTTAGATTCAGGCCTGAAGCCCCACTGAAGTTTTTCTGGGTTCCCAAGAGGACTGCTTGGTATTATCCAAGAGTTGACACGTATAAATGTCGAAAGCATGTGTCTTGATCATCCTTGATCAATTAACAGAGTTGGAAGGGACTTTGTAGGTCATCTAGTCCAACTACCCACCCAAGCAGAAGACCCTATACCAGTGATTGCGAACCTTTTGTGGCTCGCATGCCAAAAGCAGGGGGAGCGCAGGAGGGTCGTGCGCAGGCATGCCACACCCATAATGCTATGCACACGACCCCAGCACACAAGCACGCACAACCAGCGCTCCCCCCATTTTTGATGTGCTTTTTTGCCCTCCCCAGGCTCCAGAGGTTTTATAGGAGCCGGGGGGGGGGGGCAAAAACACTCCCCCCAGAGGCTTCAGGAGCTTCCCTGAAGCCGCCGGAGTACAAAAAACCGGCCCTAGGGGCAAATTGCAAGTTCAGAAATGTATTTCCAGTTTGCTCGTAGGGCCGGTTTTAGACCTTCAGAGCCTTCAGAGCCCTTCAGGAAGCTTCCCTGAAGGCTCTGGAGGGAAAAAAAAACGACTCTACAAGCAACCCGGAAGTGACTTTCGGTTTGCTTGTAGGGTCATTTTTTGCCCTCCGAAGGCTTCAGGGAAGGCTCCTGAAGGCTCCAGAGGGCTAAAACCAGCCCTACAAGCAAACCAGAAGTATGTTCCCAAACTTCTGGTTTGCCCATAGGGCTGTTTTTTCACATTCTGGAGGCTTCAGAGAAGCTCCTAAAGCCTCTGAAGGGCGAAAAATAGCCTCAAAAGAAGGTCAAAGTCAGCTAGCTGACAGGGCAACACCTCACATGCCTGGACAAATGGCTCCATGTGCCACCTGTGGCACATGTGCCATAGGTTTGCCATCACGGCCCTACACCATTC